TATCTTCGGCCTAACTTAATTCACAGGGAGGGAGGGAGGGAGGGGGGGAAAGATGTATTGCACTATATAATTTCATCCTTTATAATTTCTAGATCATACTGATATATTCTATATGCAAATTCTTTGATTTTATTTCTTTGAATGTCACCAAATTTTGAAATGCCACCTGTATTTTAGATTCTATGTATTAGTTTTGGTTTTGAAGTTATAGTTTTAGTGTTAATGCTATTTTATTATATTATATTCCATTGCATATAAGAAGCCATATTAGTCCAGTGCTTTCTACTTTGTATTTCTTTTTATTTGTCTGTTTTTGTTTTATGCTGCTTATTGACCAAAATAAAGTCTGACTGATCAAAATAAAGGCTGACCTTTGTAATGGTACTGATATCTGAAAATTCATGGAATAAATAGATTCCATCAGAGCTTGTAAGACACTCTTTACATTCTGAGGACAGGATTTCTTAAGCATAACTTTCAAGTTAATTAAAAACCCCAAAAGGTTTTTGTCATTTCTAAAGTTGTTCATAAATTTGTTTTTAAAACCACAACAGGTTACACAGATTCCATATTGGGAAAAGTGTGTTAATGTTACAATTTTGTAAAATGCACAGCTTGTGGTTATCAAGTGTCCAAAATACAGAGGGCAACCTTCTATTTAAGAGTCTCCAGTCCAAGTCTGGTTTTTAGATCCTTCAACTCTGTTCCCATCTTAATTCCTGATTTCCTCTCCCGCCTCCAAAGAACCAAAGGGGGTCATAATGTATGTAAAATACGTTCTTGGCCTTAGATCCGGTCAAATTGCTGACTGGGAGAGGAGATTTGTGTGACATTATCTGAGGCAAGAAGAATATAACATGACCACGGACACAAAAGACCAGACTATTATTTCACCAAGGGATGAAAAATAGAATGAATATGCTTTCTTTATTTTATTAGTTTGACTTCGGTTCTCAAAGCAGTGCTCAACATTAATAAAATGCAATACATACATTAAAAGCAATCTGCTTAGAAAAATGCAAAACCTATTCAAATGGAACAAAAGCTGCTTTAGTAAAAATATACTCCAAACAGCATGGTGCCTTTCATCCCAGCCATTTTTTTTCTTCATCTCATTTACTTTTATCAGGCCAGCATGATTGGAAATGCCCAAACCTGATAAAGGCATGTATCTCTGGAAAATACCCATCCAAGTAAATATTTTCTATTTTTGACTCTGTTTAAATACAAGGCAAAGAAGAATTTCTATTATTGTGCTAGGCTTGGAAGGTTTCACAAACAGTAATGAAAAATAGTGGGTAGATAGGAGCAGGAAGGCTGTAAGGCTGGCTTGACCTAGCAATATTAACCCTATACTCAAGTCACTGTTGTGTTGTTTCTGATACATCTTTTCTCCCTCACTCAGCAGACGTCAAGCAAAAATGGATCATGGCATAGAAAACTACATGTATGCTGCAGAAAATGTACCACAATTTGGCATGAGATATACATTCCAACTCTCAAATGTTAACCTTAATTCCTTTATGAATTCAACTCTCCAGGGCCAGGTGAATTATATCCTAGAGTACTGAAGGATCTAACAGACGTTATCACAGAACAACTACCGGTAATCTATGACAACTCCTGGAGAACTGGTGAGGTCCCAGGAACCCACAGAAGGGTAAATGTTATGTCTTGAAAAAAGAGAAGGAGCACCAGGGAAATTACAGTCCCACTCAGTTTGATACTTCTACTGGGCCGGGTCCTTGAGCACATTATCAGACTACATATTTGTGAGCATTAGAATAGAAATGCAACATTTAATAAAAGCTAGCAAGGGTTTCTCACAAGTAAGTCACACCAGATTAACCATATCTTCTTTTTTGACAGAGGTACAAGCTTAATAGACAGAGAACAGGTACTTTTCCAGCAAGCCAAGACTACATCAAAACGTTGAAACGCCTGGAGTGATATGATGGAAGCTCCTCCCCTTGTGTTTTTTTTTTAATCCATTCCATTGTGTCTGGTAAAATATGGGTTAGATAATACAACTATTAGATGGATATATAATTGGCTGAATGATCACACCCAGACAGTGCTCATGAATGGCTCCACATCAGATTGGAGAATAGTATCAAGTGGAGTGCCACAACGCTGTGAATTGGTCTCTGTGCTCTTCAACATTTTTAATGACTTGGATGAAAGGTTTGAAGAAATGATTATCAGATCTGCAGACAACACAGAAGTAGGATGAGTAGATAACATTTTAGAAGGGGAAGAGAAAATCCCAAATGATCTAATCGGATTTGAACAGCTGGCTGAAATGAACAGGATGAACTTTAACAGGGAGGATACAAAGTTCTGCTTCTCAGGAGAAAAAAATGAAAGCCACAAGTGTAGGATGGGGAAGATGTGACTTGGCTGAAGTACACATGAAAAGGATCTGGGTGTTCTAGTAGATCAAAAGTTTAACATGAGGCAACAGTGTGATGCAGTTGCTTAAAAAGCAAATGCTATTTGGGGATATAGTAACAGGAGCAGAATTCAGATCATGGAAACGAATTATCCCACTGTTCTCTGCCTTAATCAGACACCACTTTGGAATACTGTGTCCAGTTCTGAGTACTTCAATCACAAAAGGGCCATGAGTATTTTTATAATATGACCCATATCAGTCAGTCTCCACCGGTGTGAGTGGAGTGGAGTGAAAAGCTGAAAAGCAAAATACAACTATTTTAAAGAAAATAAATAATTTTTGCTTTCATTACTGAAGAAGAAACCCTATTGCTTCAGCTCTGATGTAAAGGTAATTCTTCAATGGGAAAACATTAAATCAGGCACATGTTTCCATCAAATCATTTCTCAGAATGCCAAATACTGAGTTTTCAATTAACAGAACACAACAAATATTTTATTGACTATGAAGCCTTTATGGCCTTCATACAGGAATGTTTTATTGGGCACACGCACACGCACACACAATGAAAGAGAGAGAGAGAGAAAGAGAGAGATTAGAAATATTACAAAATTGAAAAATACAGCTGATGAAAGAAGTTTTTCCTGAAGTATAAGTAGAGGAAAATAAGAAAAAGAATCTAAAGCAGTGAAACTAAGAAGATAATGGACTTGGCCTCTAATATTCAAGGAAGTTTCCTGTCTTGGAGAGAACATTATCCATTATCAGTTCTCCAAGACTGCCTCATATTCTACTGCCTGAAACAGCAAGCCAGGGGCACTGCCCTCTGCAATCTGTGGACACAAGACAGTTGAACGGGCAGTGAATCCTGACAATCCTGAACACACATCACAGCAGGAGGCTCTGTTAGGGAACCAGTTGTGTTGCATACAATTGTATCCTTCCATAATTCTTCACAATAGAGCAGAGCACTAAGATGCCTGTCCCAGTAATCTGAATAGCGCTCTAATCCGAACCAAAAAGAACTGGTTTAGAGTTTGAAACTTTCCAGGGATTTCAGAGTAAATTTAGGGCATATTCCGCCCTAAAACTGTTGACCTTATCTACCAAATCCAGGTTATTGTTTGAGCCCGTTAAAAATAGAAGAGTGAAACCTACATTGTCTAGAATGCTCATTGGCATTTTAAAGCTTCTCTTGAACATTAATAATTGCTTGCATCAGAAGTAAAAAACAAAACCCGAAGTGGATGAAAAAGTGGCTGGGAAATAATATATTCAGAAGATTGAAGAGTTTTTGGTATAATTAAGCAAATAATGATCCTGATGTAGCCCTGTTTGGGTTTTGCTCCCTTCTTGTTTCTGGTGAAGAGGATTTGTAGGTTTCTGAGTATCGCAAAGTTAATTTCAAACAGAGGCAAGAGCAGAACAGGAAATACACTATGGGGAAAATCTTATCAGAGGACGGGAATTCCTATAATTGTTTTCCAGTTGGAATCAGTTACTCCTTTGGGAGCCATCATTACTCTACGCAGCAGCAAACCTTTCTACAAACAAGTGCATTCTTGACCAAAAAGTACAGCCAGTCTGTCTACCCCTACATGATATATGATATAGGTTGTTTATTATTTGTGCATTAATTGCATTAAAGGTAAAGGCAAAGACTTCCTTGAGTTAAGCTTGACTCCTGGTAACCACAAGGATTCGTCCATGCAGTTTTCTTCTTCTTAATAAAGACATGGTTTCCATTGCCCTCTTTAATTCCTTGATCTAGCCTACAGTCCTAAGATTCCCTAGTGGTCTTCCATCTAAGTATTAACCTGGTTGGACCCTGCTCAGTTTTGCGGTGGGGGGGGGGAGGTCAGTAATTGTCTTTAACCACAGTATCCTGATACATAATAACAAGCTTCATTGTTATTGCTGTGGCTCCTCGTTCCTAACTCATTGTGGCTGAGGGCAGTTCCCCCTGCTAGGTTAGCATCCACATATTCTTGGGTCAGCAGAAAATTATACCAGCATGACTGAGTGGCTTTGGGTTTTAGGGCCTTCTGGATCTAGGACTTCACCATCTTTGGTACTGGATGGGGTGGCACTGCCCCAGACAGACCCAGGTCGCAATGTGGGGGTCCTTCTGAACTCACAATTCCTGCTCAAGGAGCAGGTGACAGTTGTGGCCAGGAGAGCCTTTGTGCAACTTTGTGTTGTGTGCTAGTTGTGCCCATTCCTGGATCGTGAGGCTGTGCTCACAGTCACTCATACCCTGGTCACCTCCCACATGGTCTATTCTAATGCACTCTACATGGGGCTGCCCTTGAAGAATATCTGGAAGCTGCAGCTGGTGCAAAATATGGCAGCAGAGGCAGTTATGTGTACCCCTAAGAGGATCATGTTACACCTCTGCTTCATGAGTTGCGTTGGTTACCAGTTTGCTTCTGGGTCCGCTCCAAGGTGCTGTTTTTGACCTTTAAAGCCCTACAAGGCATCACCTCTTCCCAATTACATCTAGCCATCCCATCAGGTCTGGCAAGAGAGGCATGCCATGGGTCCCACCTGCAAAAGAGTTCCACCTGACGGGACCTAGGAGGCGAGCCTTTTCTGCCATGGCACCTGAGCTCTGGAGCATCAACCCTCCGAGGGTAAGGTTAGCCCCAACCCTCAGGGCCTTCCAGAAAGTCCTTAAAATGTGCTTTTTTCCAGCAGGTCTGGGGATCCCCTGGTAATAGGGAGCCTGTGTGTTGGCTATATTGTGTGTACTATTCTCCTGCTTGCGGTCTTGTTTGTTTTTTTAATGCTTATTGTTTTTATTGTTTTTAACTGGTTTTGTAGTAGCTTTTAATAGTAGGTTTTATTGTACGCTGCCCAGAGTCACTTCGTGTGGGATGCGCAGCCATATAAATTTGACAAACAAATAAATAAATAAATAACCAAAACTAATCCAGCCTTCTAACAGCCTCTGGCCTCCCCCATCCTAAGCCTAGGCCTGTCTCACTGAAGGGCTGGGGACAAGATGAAGGCAATGCTATGGCAACAAGACCCAAAAAAGATGTTGCCAGGGGTTACTGCCATGGTTCTGTGCAAGTGGGGGGATGGCCTAGGAGTCAGGGCCTTCCTCCTTCCTTATTTCCTAAATCAGCATCTGCCTACCTCTGGGGCTGCAGTTGCAGGCCACACAACGATCTTGTGGATGCCGGCGATAGAAGCCCTCTTTACACCGCTCACAGTTTGTTCCCTCCGTGTTGTCAACACAGTTGATGCACCGATACCCATTTCCCCGTTGCCTGAGTAACTCGAGGTCGAAGATGCAACGACTGGACTTCCCATTGCAGTTGCAAGCTGGAAGACAAAGCAAGCAGAATGGTTACCATTGGACAAAAGGGTCAGGGGTGATTATTTTAAAAAATAAGTGCAGTTTACATTTATTGAAATGTTAGGATTTCCTTATTTGCAACACTACTAATGGTAACATGACTTTCCTTCCTTGAAACAATGCGATCTAGGGCAGAGCAGAGATGCATTACACTTCTCATTCTTGTTGGTTTTCCAAGTTTCAAACCCTTTTCTTTGCCCTACACAGCCAAAAAGAACTAACACCTCAATTTATTATGTAGAAGTTCCTGAGGAGAAGGAAAACTAGACCTTCCTGTGTTGAAACACAAAAGAAATTTACAACTGTGACAGTAAGGAATTGAGTTTTGATCCCTAAACTCCTCACTCCTCATTTAAATCTCCTTGCTTTGGCAGATACAACAGTTCTCAGCGACAAAACCAGAGAAATTTCACATCTGAGCTCTGGGATAAAATTAGCTCATCTATTAATAATTACCTTTATGTTGTATTCAAGATACATAGTAATTTACAGAATTTCATAAATAACAAAGCATACGTCGGTTTTCCTGCCTCAAGGATCTTATAATCTAAAATTTAACAGAAGCAAGGTAATAGGTAAATGGTTAAGAAGAAAGAAGTAAGGTTAACCAACAGCAAGGGACAGGAAAGCAGGATATTCCAGACTGTGAGCAAATGCGTTAACATGGACTTAACCTTTGCTTTCAGTAGAATTAATGGAAACGTCACAGCCGTATATACAAAATGGTTTAAAGTTAGTCAGCCATTTACAAGCTTTGTAAGATTGTGAAGACCCCAGGAATCTCTGCTAGATTTCTCAGTGTCTACACTTCAATATCCAGAGATTTTGCAGAGCAAAGGCCATGACTGTTAAAGAAATATACCCTACATACTTGCAGATAAGCCAAGAATTTTAGGTACCAAAATACATGCAAAAAATTGGGTTTGGCTTATCTGCGGATGGGCTTATCCATGAGTATAAATGGTAGGTTTTTCCCTCAGCTTTTTAAAGTACCTGTATATTCTGTATATACTTGCGGATAAGCCAAACCCTTGAATTTTAAACCAAAATATTATGAAAAATGCACCATCCACAGATAAGCCAATTGTGAAAATTAAAAGATACAAAAATTCCGAGGGTCAGCTTATCTGGAGGTAGCACATTTTTCATGGTATTTTGGTTAAAAATTCAAGGGTCGGCTTATCCGTGGATGGGCTTATGCGTGAATATATATTGTAGGCCAATACAAGGTGTAGTGTAATTCAGAGCTGGATTAACTACTGTGTAATTGGCACAGTATTAACTAAAACCCCTTCCAAACAGATCAATATATAATATAAACGTAGATCTACTGTATATAATAAAGATTCGTTGGGGCTCCTAAGGATCTTTTTCTTAGATCCTTAGGAGCCTTATAGCCATGAGCAGCGTGCCCAATGGATTATTAAGCATTAGTATAGTTCTGTTTCGAGATGTTGAGAGGGATTGAGAAAGATTTGCAAAACAAGCAAATTTCCTAGCAATGTAATAATGTGAATTCATCTTAGTTCTTTTTCTTTTCTTTTCTTTTTTGTTCAGGAGCAGGATTTGAACTGGATATCTGCATGTGTATAAACATGCACCCCCTATGCAAAATATGAACAAGCCCCAATGAAAAGGGAGAAAATTCCAGTATTAGTACTGAGCAGAAACATACACCCAAACGCCATGTATGTTTCCTTCTCTGTCACCTACCCCATCGACAAGTTATCCATCTCACTGAGAATAACCACATATTTGTCAGAAACCCAGAGAGTCATCAACAGCTGCTCCAGCTAATCCTCACTTTGGCTGCCAACACATACAATCAAGTTCAGGCATGACTCTTGCATTCCAAGTACCTGAGAGGATCCTACAAATCAGACCTGCCCAGGCTCTGCCATGGCTGCCAAGCTGATCTCATTCCCCTCAGCACTCACTCAGCACCACCTGGAATTTACCCAGGTTGCCAGAGGCACGGCTGCAGCTGACATGCCTGGCAGCAGCCCCAGTCACTCTCCTCAGTGCCACGTCCTTCCCTAAAAGGAGGTCTTGCTAGAACTTGCCTTTTTCCACAGAAATTGGCCATTCCAGAAATTCAGAATGAGAACATTCTGGTCACTATCTATTGTTTTATCTACATTTATTAGGAAAAAGGATGTTCTGGATAGGTCTAGTATAAAAATTCTACAGAACTGTACTGAAGTCTACTACACGTTACATGGAGACATGAGTATCTAAGAGCTTTTCCTGATGCTATATAGACACACACTCCATCCGCTGCTGAGGTGGCAGAAAACTACCTGCCAGTATAAAATTTGCAGTCCCCATGGCCAATCCCTACCCCGCTCATTTCCAAACAGTGAGAACTGATTATGCATCTGTAGGGCGTGTTAAGCAAAGTCATTGATAGATTCCTCCAGCTTTGTTTCTCTTTCCCCTCTTCAGCATCCCCAAATGGTGGAAAAACATCTATTAAACATGACAGTGATGCAGAAAAGTGGGGAAGTGATGGATTTCTGCTCTCTTTCCCTTGACGGATAAAAATTAAGCATTGGGAAGTGAATGGGATCATGAAGTGAGATGAGTTGCGCGCGCATACACACACACACACACACAAATGCAAGTTTCTTTTCCATGATAAGGACAGGACAGCACAGCATGGCCTTCAGGAGAAAACAGTGTAGTGGCAGAGGCAGCCTGGCCTAGGGAGCTGAAAGAAAGGATCTATGTCTGCATCAGCCTGAAAAGGCCAATAAGGACAGCTAATAAGGCTGTCACAGGGGAGAGAGTATGGATTTACTCCCTGTAGTGCCAGTAGGACAAGAACCAATAGGAGAAAGCTTTACAGAGGGAAATCCAGACTTGAAATAGGGATTTCCTGACCATGAGAAGAGGTATTAAGCAGTGGAATGGCCTGCCTCCTGAATCAGGGCACTCCATTGCTACAGGTTTTCAAACAAAGGTTGGAGAAACTTTTGTGTGGGAAAGTCTGAGGATTCCTGCCCTGGGCAGAGGGTTGAAAAGCTCTAAAATCCCTTCCTACCCTCTGATTCCATGATCTGACCTCACCTATTGATGGGATAGTAGCAAAGAACATCAGATTTTACATAATTTGCGACTGCTGCTGGATGGGGAAAAATATTCCATAACTTAAACCTGTCTCATTCAAGGGCTGGTGACAGATCATGATGGCATGAATGACAAGGGGAAAAAAAAGAATTAGGTCATGTTTGTACTGCAAAGAAAGGCCTTAAATCCCAGTATCTTATTTAGAGAAAGGCAGTTTGGTGAAGGAATGAATTAATGCTGAAGCAGTAGCAGACAAGGGGTACCAGATCTTTCTCCCACTGATCAATTTCTGCTGCAGTTTTGGTTTCTCTGCACTACCTTCTCCTCAGGTACATTCTGACTTCCCAGGTTCAGGGAGGAAAGAATGCCAGTGCAAGGCTTGCTTGCAAGCAGCAACCAGAAGGTGGCTGGTGTGGGTCTTCCGGGCTTCTGGGTCTTTATGGGTCTTCCTTCGACAATACAGCAACCAGAAGGCTTTCCGCGGTCCTCAGTATACCTCCTCAGTGATCTCAGTGACTGGCCAGGTCTCTCTAATTGCTACCCTGGTCCCAGGTTTTTAGAGCCTTGTATGATAACCAAGACCTTGAACATGTCTTGGTAGCTAATTAGCAGCTTCAGTTAAAGGTGCAACTTATGCATGAACAATTTGCCTGGATTGTTCTGCATAGCTCTTAGCTTCCAGACCAAGTACAAAGACAGACCTACATTCAGCACATTACAGTAATAGAAACATGAGATGAAGTCAGCCCCACTAGATGGACCAGACCAGGAAATCAACCCCACAAGAAGGCTAACATTACTTGCAGTGAGATTGGCTATTATAACAGAATCATGCAAGTCTGATTGTACGTCGTCCTCCTTCTTCTAGTTCAGTGAATTGGGGGGCTTCTGCTGGAGCCACTTCTGTATGTTATCTGGCTGTTCTGGACTTTAAAAAATGCTTCAGCTCCTTTTGCCTAGGCAGCATCTCTGTCAAGGCCATCTTTACTTTCTACAGATTATCAATGGTTGAACAACTATAACTAGTTTGTCCCTGACTGAGAAGGTTGTAGCTGATATACTAACTGAGGCTGGCCATAGGCAGAGGTCTCTTGATCTCCAATTGATGATTCTAGAAGCATCCCCACAATTTCTGACAGAATACAATCCCATTTAGAAGTAAACTCCTAAATTCCCTTGCCTGGAAACCCCATCTTGTTGGGATTTTGTCTTGGTTTATTGACCCTCATTCACCCCTCTGTGGCCTCCAAGCATTGATTCAGAATATGCACAACCTCTTCTGATTCAGATGCTATGGAAAAAAGTCTGTCATCTGCAGACTGGTGATACTCAGCACCAGAATGACTGCTTCCATCAGTTCCATTAAACAGCACCATGGAGAAAGAGAGGCATAGTCACTTAATATTACTCTCTGAGATTGTTCCTGCAAGAAGGACTGAAACCACTATAACATAGTGCTCAGTCTCTAACTCACAAACATGATCCAGAAGAATAACATAGCCAACAGAATCAGAAGCCAGTGAGAGATCAAGAAAGACCAAAAGAGTCACACTCTCTCTGTGTCTCTCCCACAAGAGCTCATCTGTTAAGGAAGCCCTGGTTTTTCTGTCTTAAACAAGGCCTGAACCCAGATTGAAAGGGATTGAGATAATCAATATCTTCAAGAACATCTGCAACTACAAAGCAACTGTCCTTTCAAATCCCTCCCCCCACCCCCGTCCAAAGGGGCATTTCTGACTGGGGATTAGTTGGCAAAATATTTTGAATTGAGGGAGTGGTGGTGTTTTTTCAAAAGCTTGTGTTGTGTCTGTAAGTCCCTAAATTCCAAACACCTGGCCACATTGGGTGGGAATTCTGGGTCTGTAATCCTGACATGTATGGGAAAAGTTAGATGAAT